TCATGCTTAGCGTTGTAGTCAAGAAAGACAACTCAATACCGCTTCAAGTTCGCGGGGGTGTTAATATTTCACGATATGCTGGAACATATATGGGGAGATAACAGAGAAATGTTCCCTTTGACAGACATGTAGAGTGCAATATTGATTTTCTAAAAAGCATGACGCGACTAGTACTGATGAAATGTACGGAATTGTGTTTCAATGTAAAGGCCAGAAAGCTGAAAGGAGATCATTTCAATGCCTCTTTTGTACTGATCTAGTTCTCTATTACGTGTTGGAATCGGCAACATAGTTTTAAGAAATCGTAAGCCAGATCCAAATTCCTTGTGTTTCCAGAAGGTAGTTCTTACGTAGCGTTAATGATAGAATGTAATCACCCCGACTTCTTTCTAATTGTTTAAAACTGTCATTAAACATTACTGTCATCATTATTAAGCATACTCATCAAGGGAGGTAACTCTCCATATATGTCAATCATAACATGTTTATGTATGTATGTATAATATTTGTGTAAACCTGTGGGCTGTAAGGCCCCCGGAATAAACTTGAACTGAACTGAACTGATATTCGTCCCCCGATATCAATTTTATAAAGCTATCAATTACAAGTATATACAAGAACATTTTAACTGTTGCCTTATCAATAAGCTGATCGTGGTTTAACTAAGTAGGTCTAATGACGACAAAAGACTTTATTGGAAGAATAAATACAGTAGGCTTTATGATCATTTACAAATCTACATGACAAATTATTTTGGTCGGAAGTATTTAGAGTTAATCAATGAAGCGCGCAGCCGGGCTATTCAATGGGCAAGGTCATATATTTTATTTCAGTGTCAGATAGGTATATCTCTTTGAAGTGTATATTTGTGTGTAAATCGCGTTCAACTTGTTTATATAGCAGAGATAATGCAGCTGTTGTGACTCTTTTAATTCATTTATGTAAATCCATTTTTTTTCACATTTCAGTAATTTGTGTATTTTGTTTCATAACACACTCTCTGCACCTGGAGATTTATTATATACGAGATCGTCAGTAGCATTTTTTGTTTCTACTCATGGCAGCAAATAACCAGTATCTTTCTCAATGCCTCTCAACTTTTTATCAACATTTGTGGGAAGCTCAATAGCTGCTCTACTCCCATTGTTGTGAATAAGTATAAATACTTTTATCGTGTCTTCAATCTCGTATATATACGTTCCTTCTTTCCTTTTTATTGATGTCAATTTCTTATTCAAGTTCAATATTGGTTGATTTTTCACTTTCTTCGTACCACTTGAACCCTAACCTAATTCTAGCAGCTTTTTTTAGTATATACCTTCTACATCATGAGCTTCTGATTTAAAAAAAATAAATTTAAGCTTCTTTTTTCTAAACCCCTTGTTTTTCTTTAAAATTTGATATCTTACTTATATGCAGGTATCTGTTATTTTAAGTTTTGTTACATCTCACCATTCTTTGATAGAACTAAATTCATTCGTGTTTCACACCCTTAATTCAATCTGCATGCCACGTATATCGAACAATGCCATCTTAATTTCCGTATTTAGAGCAATATCCTTCATTTTTCTTTTTAGGTGATAATTTGGTTTTCTGTTTGGACATGTTAATGTATATTGTGTTATAGTAAATATTCAATTATATATCAGGGGCGTAGCAAGCCCAGCAGAAATGTGTAAGCCCTGGCGAGGGGCCTGGGCGGCCCCCAGGCCCCCAGCTGATCTAGGACAGGGCCCTGGTGGGAGGATCAGGGGGGCGAAGTCCCCAGACGGAAAATGAATTTCATGATTTCAAAGATGTTTTGAATCGTTTTCTGAGACAGTTTTTTTAATTTATTTAACAGCAAACTTCCATCCCTTACTAAATAAAAGACTTTATTTTGTTTGAAAAACTTGTCAATCGACGTCTGTAATCCAAAAGCCTTCTTCATTTTGAAAATTTGCACTTTAACAACATTATAATAGAAAACGTTGAAATGATAGTAAGAAGTAGAATCGTATGACGTGTATAAAGTTCCGGAAAGCAATGCACTAGGCCTAGGTTATTCAACAATTTGTTGTTATTCAACAATTTTCTATTTATTTTTTTTTATTCATCAAAAAAATTATCATTATTTATTTTCAACCTTAATTTTGTAATTTTGTCCGATATACTCTATGCAAGGATTTTTTTATGTGTAAGCCCTGGCTTTTTCTTTCTATGGAAGCTACGCCCCTGTACGTTAAAACTTACCCGAGGTAGCAAAAACGTATCAACTATTTCGATACCACTGCCCGCCACTTTCTGAAGAGTGAAACAATATACGATAAGAATAATTTTTGTAGGTCCAATGTTATTTGGAAAATTGTCGAATTAAAAATTAGTTTTAAAATCACCGATCAATTGTAATATTCATGTGATCGCTATTTAGTAATAACTTCTTGGGTTTTCCGTTTAATTTTCAATCCGTAATATTAGCGAACCATTTTTACCAAATCACCCAAAATGTGCGATCCTATCGCACTGTTGTACACACGATACCGTAACGTGCGTGTGTGCGCACGATGTGTGCGTTGTGCATTACCACAACTGTAGTGCCGTCCTTCGGATCAAATATGTTACTAGCCTGTTCATCTCCCGCTAGAAACAGTTTGTCGTTGTATATTTATGGTAGATCAGGAGTTCACAAATTGACTGTTTTGGATGCCGGGTTTTGCTTTCACTTTTGCTGGGTACAGTTCGCTGGGGGAAGGATTCCAATACGTCGTTAGATGAAGTAGTCACGGTGATTGTAACAAATTCCCGGCCCTTCTTGTATTTAAGCACGTCTAATGATGTTCTTTGATGGATTACTACATCACCAATGTCATTTGGATTGAGAGCAGTGCTATTCTGTGCCATTTCAACCCTTTTATCAAATACCACAAGCGCACTGTGAGGCTTCAAAAGCTCGGTAATTCACGTGTTACTCGTGTACGTCAGACAACACGCCTAACCATAAAGTCATACGTCGCGCTCACACACCTGTGTGACCCTAGTGTTCCCGTACCATTAAAATGTAATTACACTCTTAGGTCAATGTCTACAACCCGGTTACGGTTGGATGGCTCAATACCCGTGCTTGTAAGTGTGTTGGCTGTGCTTGTCTGACCTGGTTGTCACGGTTTCGCTATCAGTGGTTTTGATGACAGGAGTGTGTCCCTTGCAGCGATGTTAGATCGTGTGCATGTGTACCCTCTGGCTAGGTCGGTTAAAACATGTACTGATCTCCCAGAGTTACTGCCCTTTTTCCTTCCTAGCTGATACAGCGATAATCATCACAGATTGTGTGGGCCGAGAATATCCTCGAAGGGCACTTTAAGGTTTATGTTCAGTTTCACCACAGTGTTAACATCTGGTTACATAATTGTCATCAATCATTCAAAATTGTACTTTCCAGTATTTGTTTGGTATCACCGTAACGTTCCTGTACATTTGGTTCTAGAATTGATAGCAAGCATTTTAATTCGTGCTTTCCAAAGTTACATGTAGATTCATTTGTTATTGTTGCTTTCATCAGCTGTACATAGCGCGCTCCTGTTTCTGTTCGAGTCATTTTCATTCCTATTTAGACTTCCTGAGACAATTTTCACGTCTTGGCTAAAACAGGGGGTGATGCTCTGGTCACTCGGTCTACTGAAACACCTTTTATAGTGTGGATATCTACAACAAAATTTACATACCTTTCTCTCATATAAGTTCTACTTACTGCCAATATATTCTCGTCTCCAGACAATTTCAATTTGCCTCTGAGAAAAGTGTTTATTGTTGACTCCTTTCAACAAAAACATCAAAGCAATTCAAAGGCCTGTCGCCTCTTCATGAAGGGGGTGGTGGTGGTAACGCATGCAACAGAGCAAATTCAAATGTGATGGAAACTGCATAAATCAGAATATCATCTCACAAATTGTATATCAAAATTGGAAGGTTGGAAGGTATGGTAATAAAGAAAGGAAGAAGTTTTACTTTGTTTAACATCGTTGTCATTATTGAAGATGAAGTGTAACTTTGAATTTTAATGTGAAAAATATGCAGATTTAAGGAAACGTTTCGTTGAGCAATATCATAATAGACCCAGCATGTTTAAATTTATCAAACTGTACGTAAGAAAGAATTATGAAATTTCTTCATTTTTTCATAATGGGTAAAAAAAAAAGAGAAGAAAAAAAGAAGCCAATTATTCATGGACAATAAATTGCATTCCCTCTACGCTATGCTAGTAGATGGTTTGGGTGTTTGATGAGAAAGTTTGTGTTCCGTTGTTGTTCACACCTACATTGTGTAAAGATTAAAGGATTTGTTCGTTCAGAAATGGTTTCCATCTAGAGGACAAGCTTACTGAAATTTTAAAAGTATATTTCAAAATGAAGATTACTTGCTTAAAATAAATGAAGACAGAAAATATATATTAATATTTCGTACATCAAGTTTTTATCCCTAGAATCGAGACGACGGGGTGGTCATGACCGGACTGAAGGAATAGGTGACGATTATCATTGTTTATTTATAATTATGTAGTATTTGATGGTTATACATTCCAAGTTATTATTGTACATAGTCTAGTCTGAAAAAATTAAAAGTATGTTTTTATGTAATGTTCTCTACTCTCGAATGTTGTCATCTTTTTAGTGAAATTAGAAAAAAAGTTCTAAATTCATAGAGTAGATATGATTATATACATACATAAAGCCTATTACTGTCTTCCTAAATAGCCTTTTGTTACATACGCACATATCAAGAGTGCCCGAGAGACTAGTAGAAATAATGAAATTTTGAATGCGTCATGTCATTTTCAACTGGTGACCCGGAAGGCCCATGGTAACACAGTATTAAACTGCATTGTTGCAATGAATCATTATATATGGCTTAAGGACTGATCAGACATCTTACTAACGTACCTCCAATATGAGAAATTACACCTGGTTTACAGCAGGAAGTAAATGTCTTAGAACCTGGTAATATTGGCTATTGGTATATTTCAGAGTACATAAGTACATGGCCATCGATGGTGGGAACTAGGAGTGGTTGTTTTCTCAACTCTACACCCAAATTATGGCGTTAAAACCCTATTCCAACAGGTAAGCATGATCTCGGACCAAGTCTTTTTTCTCAGTTTTCAATTTGCTTATTAGATGTAAACGTGATGGCTTGTACATGTAAGATACACATTACAACAAAACACACATCGACTAGTAAAACAAAGTAATGTTATATTTGAGAATGATAATTTAATAATGGCAGAATTATTCACACCGGACACTCGACAGTCTGGATTGTAATACAATACTACATCAATATTATGGACGGGAACACTTTCTTAAGCAAATCTTCTATATTTACCAGGATCATACAACTGTGTTACATTATTAAGTAATTGGACAATTTTGATTATTTTGGTATAATAAACGTTATGATAACATTAGCAAATACATGAAATACTATAGTATACAACTGCTCGTGTTTCTGAAAATTGATATTGTTATACAAAATTATCTACAAAATGTTGATACAACATTTCTGAAAATTACAATTTTAGTCTGATCTTCATTAAGATTGAGTTTACATTCATCAGGCGTAACGTATTTAACACCGAATATTTCAATTTCTACCCAAATCAGACTCAATGAAACTTCTAAATGTGATCTGTTTCATTTACCGATGAATTTGACCAGATTAACATTGTCAGTGCGTATGAATAAAAATATTTTTGAAAACATCAAACTAAAAATTTAAAAACTATTGAAAACTATTAATAAAATTAAAAAAAATAATTGTATTCAACATTAAAAAAAATTGAACTCTACGTTTCAAAAGATGTGAAGCGACTGAAGCCTGATATTTCTTGTTCTCCGTTTCGGTGCCTATAAAAATGATGGCCGACACCGCTTCGTTTGCGAACCGGCTTACCCTGTCTAGATGTTATTCCTCCGCAGGGAAAACATGCATACTGTCTTTGTTGCACAGTATAATCTTAATTTTCATTAAAGTTGTCGAAAAATATATTGAATTTTGTTCTTATTTAAGTTTCATTGAATATTAATTAACCACGCTGAAATATATTTCAACCTGTCATAATAATCTGTCTTCAAATGACGGACTATTTGCTTGTATGACGTCAAACAATATGATGACAAGAAACGAAAATGAAAGTAGAAGATAAAATGCGTAAGTTCCCATGCTATAGAAAAAGAAGCGTGAATTGAAATATAAGGATTGAATCTTGCTTATGTCGATTTCATGGGATGATGAATTGAGTTGGTCTTGAGACAAATTCAACATGAACTGCTTAAATTCATCAATCCATGAAATCGACATCAGCAAGATTCAATCCTTAATTGTAAAGATTGACTGGTTTTCCGTCTCCATGACTCCTCTCGGATCCGAGTATCCGAGCAATCGTCCATATTTAAGAGAGAATAGTTATTATCAAATGGATAAATAAGAAATTATTAATTTTGCTCTTCTTCTCATAGAAATAGCCTTTTACTGTTTATCGAGGATTTTTCTATTGATTAATGAAATCTTATGATTGTTATTATTTTCAACTGATAACTTGTTAAGAATTATTTGTTTCCCATCTTCCCACCATGTCTGTAGTATCCACAATGTTAATTTCACATTCATGGTCAAACCCGGGCGTCGACAGCTCAGAGAATAGGGTGTTGGCCTACTTAACCTCAGGTGGTTCATGGTCAAACCCGGGCGTCAACAGCTCAGTGGATAGGGTGTTGGCCTACTTAACCTCAGGTGGAAGCCCAAGGTGTATTGGTTGACGCTCCCTAACCACAGATCTTTAGTGTTAAATGCATCTCGGCTCTGACCGGGGTTTTTTGTAACCATTCATTATCTCAGTATGAACAAGACTGTGTCGATGAAGTTGTGTTCTTTGAGAAGACACTTTTCCCTTATCCTTCTTGACGACATGCGATGGGTCTCTGGTATTATTTTTGCTTACGCATTTCAATAAATCTGACATCTGTGACATTGAAAGAGGGTCAAGGTCATTCATATTAACAAACCTGGTAGCCCTTCATTTCATCATGCTACAGGCCCAATATCAGTACTTTGGGCCTTTTAGTTATTGAGAAGAAGTTTAAAAATTTCGACACATTGAGCCATAAGACATTGAAAGTTGGTCAAATTATTAATTTTATAAATCTTGGTAGTCCTTCATATCGGATAGTGTAATTTGCTTAATGAAATAGTTGTTTAATTATTCCACATAAACTTGATAGATATGTGATGAAATTTTGTATAATACAATATCAATGTTGATAGGAATTATAGAGGGACAGTTCTCTGTTCCAGGGTGCAGAGAGCGAAAGTGATATCGTGACAATATAACAGGAACGTAATAGTTATCTCCCTTACCGTTAGACTTGTCCGTCACGTGTGTAGGAGTGAACTCCCTTCTGCTGTATCGCGTGTGACATTGATAGCTATGGCGTGTGATATTAATTTAAATAGCCATGAACACCATTCAAAAAGAAAACATGTCACAGAATAGTTTTGCTTTTATCCATTATAAATCTTACTTTAAAAAAAACGTAAAAATAATGGCCTTATCTGAATGACAATGAATATCTACTTAACAAAACAACAAACGACCAATTTCATGTCGTTGGTCGAGAATGGTTGGTCACCGAACTCTTCATATACCATAGTGATTTGTAAAGTATATTTAAAATTTCTACATCTCGCAAAAATGATCGATTTTCCTTATTATAAATTCTACATCAGATGTCATCTTTACCGACCGAATGCGACTTTTGCAAAATACATTTAACATGTTTATTATATAACTGTTCATCCATCTACATATTGTTTAACTGATTGCATGTGTTGTTGTTTGCAGATTTCAACTTTTTACGTTGATGTTCAGTTTGTTCTTGCTGTTGGGGATATCCTTGTTCTTTGTAGTGTACCGAAAAACAAATTTCCTTGACATCCAGCCTCAGTTTCTCGTAATCCAGAGACTGTTTGGAACAGCGCCTTCTCCTAAACCAATAAGAGTGAAACGTGTTACCTATTACAACAGACCCCCCTGGATAAGTCCGCATGTGTTCAATGGGTGCAAGGACAGGTGTGAGATGATTTCGTCAACAAATTACAAGGACAGTGACGTAGTTGTGTTCCATGCGCCTAACTTATATAGAGGCACACCTCTGAGGAAATATAATGGTCAAACGTGGGTGTTTCATGACATGGAACCGCCATTTTTAGTTCCAAACTTTAAAAATTGGAAACGAGTATTTAATTGGACAATTAGCTACAGACGAGATGCTGATATTTTTAATCCATATAGTTATTTCACACGGAAAACAAATACAGAGAATACTAATATTCGGGATATTATGTGGAAAAATAAAACTAGGAATATTGGCTGGATTGTTTCACACTGCGGAGTGGCAAGCCAGAGGCTTAAATACGGAAACGAACTTCAAAAAAATATTGATGTGGATACATATGGTCGATGCGGGAATCTTCACTGTCCAAGAGGAAAATGGCAGGAGTGTCTCGGGAAATATAAATATTATGCATCATTTGAAAATTCTCTGTGTATTGACTACATAACGGAAAAGAGTTTCCGAGTGTTCGAGCGGAAGGTGAATTCAATACCAGTTACTCGTGGAGCTCCTGACTATTCTATTTTCCTCCCTCCGGGATCATACGTGGACACAAGAAACTTCTCATCAATTAGTAAATTAGGTATTTTCTTAAAGAAGTTATCAGACGACAAAGAATCATTCAAGTCTTATTTCAACTGGCGTCGTTATTACAAGGCTGAAGATATGATTGGCAGTAGCATGGGATTTTGTGAGCTGTGTAGAAGATTACACAACCCGTCCGAGAAATACGAACATCTGTATGAGGATATTGATGAGTGGGTACGACAGGACTCGCAACCTAGGCGCTCGTGTAGACCCGTCGTGGACTTAATTTAAACGCCCTCGTTAGCATATGAAATATACGAAATGTGTTCACATGTATGACAGTCAAGACATCATCGCGTTTTTAAAGAGAACACAACCTATGTTTATTTTCGAGAATTTCACTGTAGATTTTGTTCGTCATGATCTCATGTGAAAAGTCAATTGATTTAGTTCTACTTGAGCTGAACAAACTTTCATGTATTTGTTTATTTTAGATAACAACTTCGTGGGAATCTCTAACCTATATATTCTCACGAAATAACCTGTGTCGGTATAACTGTTAGGACGGGGTACATGTGACTGTTGTGTCGGTATAACTGTTAGGACGGGGTACATGTGACTGTTGTGTCGGTATAACTGTTAGGACGGGGTACATGTGACTGTTGTGTCGGTATAACTGTTAGGACGGGGTACATGTGACTGTTGTGTCGGTATAACTGTTAGGACGGGGTACATGTGACTGTTGTGTCGGTATAACTGTTAGGACGGGATACATGTGACTGTTGTGTCGGTATAACTGTTAGGACGGGGTACATGTGACTGTTGTGTCGGTATAACTGTTAGGACGGGGTACATGTGACTGATGTGTCGGTATAACTGTTAGGACGGGATACATGTGACTGTTGTGTCGGTATACCTGTTAGGACGGGGCACATGTGACTGTTGTGTCGGTATAACTGTTAGGACGGGATACATGTGACTGTTGTGTCGGTATAACTGTTATGACGGGGTACATGTGACTGTTGTGTCGGTATTACTGTTATGACGGGGTACATGTGACTGTTGTGTCGGTATAACTGTTATGACGGGGTACATGTGACTATTGTGTCGGTATAACTGTTATGACGGGGTACATGTGACTGTTGTGTCGGTATTACTGTTATGACGGGGTACATGTGACTGTTGTGTCGGTATAACTGTTATGACGGGATACATGTGACTGTTATGTCGGAATAACTGTTATGACGGGGTACATGTGACTGTTGTGTCGGTATAACTGTTAGGACATGTGACTGTTGTGTCGGTATAACTGTTAGGACATGTTACATGTGACTGTTGTGTCGGTATAACTGTTAGGACGGGGTACATGTGACTGTTGTGTCGGTATAACTGTTAGGACATGGTACATATGACTATTGTGTCGGTATAACTGTTAGGACGGGGTACATGTGACTGTTGTGTCGGTATAACTGTTAGGACGGGGTACATGTGACTGTTGTGTCGGTATAACTGTTAGGACGGTGTACTGTTGTGTCGGTATAACTGTTAGGACGGGGTACATGTGACTGTTGTGTCGGTATAACTGTTAGGACGGTGTACTGTTGTGACGGTATAACTGTTATGACGGGATACATGTGACTGTTGTGTCGGTATAACTGTTAGGACATGGTACATGTGACTGTTGTGTCGGTATAACTGTTAGGATGGGGTACATGTGACTGTTGTGTCGGTATAACTGTTAAGACGGGGTACATGTGACTGTTGTGTCGGTATAACTGTTAGGACGGTGTACTGTTGTGTCGGTATAACTGTTAGGACGGGGTACATGTGACTGTTGTGTCGGTATACCTGTTAGGACGGGGCACATGTGACTGTTGTGTCGGTATAACTGTTAGGACGGGATACATGTGACTTGTGTCGGTATAACTGTTATGACGGGGTACATGTGACTGTTGTGTCGGTATTACTGTTATGACGGGGTACATGTGACTGTTGTGTCGGTATAACTGTTATGACGGGGTACATGTGACTGTTGTGTCGGTATTACTGTTATGACGGGGTACATGTGACTGTTGTGTCGGTATTACTGTTATGACGGGGTACATGTGACTGTTGTGTCGGTATAACTGTTATGACGGGATACATGTGACTGTTATGTCGGAATAACTGTTATGACGGGGTACATGTGACTGTTGTGTCGGTATAACTGTTAGGACATGTGACTGTTGTGTCGGTATAACTGTTAGGACATGTTACATGTGACTGTTGTGTCGGTATAACTGTTAGGACGGGGTACATGTGACTGTTGTGACGGTATAACTGTTATGACGGGATACATGTGACTGTTGTGTCGGTATAACTGTTAGGACATGGTACATGTGACTGTTGTGTCGGTATAACTGTTAGGATGAGGTACATGTGACTATTGTGTCGGTATAACTGTTAGGACGGGGTACATGTGACTATTGTGTCGGTATAACTGTTAGGACGGGGTACATGTGACTGTTGTTTCGGTATAACTGTTAGGACGGTGTACTGTTGTGTCGGTATAACTGTTAGGACGGGGTACATGTGACTGTTGTGTCGGTATAACTGTTAGGACGGTGTACTGTTGTGTCGGTATAACTGTTATGACGGGATACATGTGACTGTTGTGACGGTATAACTGTTATGACGGGATACATGTGACTGTTGTGTCGGTATAACTGTTAGGATGGGGTACATGTGACTGTTGTGTCGGTATAACTGTTAAGACGGGGTACATGTGACTGTTGTGTCGGTATAACTGTTAGGACGGTGTACTGTTGTGTCGGTATAACTGTTAGGACGGGGTACATGTGACTGTTGTGTCGGTATACCTGTTAGGACGGGGCACATGTGACTGTTGTGTCGGTATAACTGTTAGGACATGGTACATGTGACTGTTGTGTCGGTATAACTGTAAGGACGGGGTACATGTGACTATTGTGTCGGTATACCTGTTAGGACGGGGTACATGTGACTGTTGTGTCGGTATACCTGTTAGGACGGGGTACATGTGACTGTTGTGTCGGTATAACTGTTAGGACGGGGTACATGTGACTGTTGTGTCGGTATAACTGTTGGGACGGGGTACCGTTGTGTCGGTATAACTGTTAGGACGGGGTACGTGTGACTGTTGTGTCGGTATAACTGTTAGGACGGGGTACATGTGACTGTTGTGTCGGTATAACTGTTAAGACGGGATACATGTGACTGTTGTGTCAGTATCACTGTTGGGACTGTTGTGTCAGTATCATTGTTGGGACGGGGTACATGTGACTGTTGTGTTGGTATAACTGTTGGGACGGGGTACATGTGACTGTTGTGTTGGTATAACTGTTAGGACGGGATACATGTGACTGTTGTGTCAGTATCACTGTTGGGACGGGGTACATGTGACTGTTGTGTTGGTATAACTGTTAGGACGGGGTACATGTGACTGTTGTGTCGGCATAACTGTTAGGACGGGGTACATGTGACTGTTGTGTCGGTATAACTGTTAGGATGGGGTACATGTGACTGTTGTGTCGGTATAACTGTTAGGATGGGGTACATGTGACTGTTGTGGCGGTATAACTGTTAGGATGGGGTAAATGTGACTGTTGTGTTGGTGTCAGTATTCCGACTGATTAACTGTTGTTTTTATTAAAAAGTTGTTTTATCATCATCTTCAGCTCATGATTTTAATTTTTGTTTTCTATTTTTCAAATCACGTTTTGTGCATATTCAGCCTATGAAGAGAAATCACGGAGCTGATGTAAGAGAGCACTTGGTAAATTCTCGTTTGTGGAAGAATGACGTCTGTCGCCCTGACAGAACGATATTCTTCGTCTTTTCCCCCTCCCTAATCATCGTCATTTCGCAGCGACATAATGAAATGACGCTATAACTCAACGCCAAATAAGAAAATTGTGCAGTCGCTAAGTAGAGGGCCGAAATCATTCGCCTCGATAATTATTGTCTTTACGCCGCTGCAAAACTATTATTATCGTTATATCGCATCGCTAATTATTGTATTTTCGCCGCGATAAAACGATAAATATCGTTATATCGCCCAGCTAATTATCGTCATTTCGCAGTGGCATAACGATAATTATCGCTTTGTCGCTGGCACTTTTCAGTACAAAGACTGTAAACAGACACGGTATAAGTCAGCTTTCAGTCCAAAGATTGTACAACAGACAGGGTGTAAGACACCTTTCAGTAAAATGATTGTACGACACACATGGTATAAGACACCTTTCAATACAAAGATTGTACAACAGACACGGTATAAGTCACTTTTCAGTACAAAGACTGTAAACAGACACGGTATAAGTCAGCTTTCAGTCCAAAGATTGTACAACAGACAGGGTGTAAGACACCTTTCAGTACAAAGATTGTACGACACACATGGTGTAAGTCACCTTTCAGTACAAAGATTGTACAACAGACAGTGTGTAAGACACCTTTCAGTACAAAGATTGTACAACAGACAGGGTGTAAGACACCTTTCATTACAAAGATTGTACAACAGACAAGGTGTAAGACACCTTTCAATACAAAGATTGTACAACAGACAGGGTGTAAGACACCTTTCATTACAAAGATTGTACAACAGACAAGGTGTAAGACACCTTTCAATACAAAGATTGTACAACAGACAGGGTATAAGACACCTTTCAATACAAAGATTGTACAACAGACAGGGTGTAAGACACCTTTCAGTAAAAAGATTGTACGACACACATGGTATAAGACACCTTTCAATACAAAGATTGTACAACAGACACGGTATAAGTCACTTTTCAGTACAAAGACTGTAAACAGACACGGTATAAGTCAGCTTTCAGTCCAAAGACTGTACAACAGACAGGGTGTAAGACACCTTTCAGTACAAAGATTGTACGACACACATGGTGTAAGTCACCTTTCAGTACAAAGATTGTACAACAGACAGGGTGTAAGACACCTTTCAGTACAAAGATTGTACGACACACATGGTGTAAGTCACCTTTCAGTACAAAGATTGTACAACGGACAGACAGGGTGTAAGACTCCTTTCATTACTAAGATTGTACATCGGACAGACAAAGATGTGTACAAAGATTGTACGACACACATAGTGTAAGACACCTTTCAGTACAAAGATTGTACAACGGACACGGTATAAGTCACCTTTCAGTACAAAGATTGTACAACAGACAGGGTGTAAGTCACCTTTCAGTACAGAGATTGTACAACAGACAGGGTATAAGTCACCTTTCAGTACAAAGATTGTACAACAGACAGGGTGTAAGACACCTTTCAGTACAAAGATTGTACGACACACATGGTGTAAGTCGCCTTTCAGTACAAAGATTGTACAACGGACACGGTATAAGTCAT